GATTCTCCTCACAACAGATTTTTTTTCATCTTTGTATCTCTACTTCAGATGTTTCCTGTCTTTTTCCTTACACAATCAATGTATGTGCTACACCAGACCACTGGCAAAACTAAACTCAAGGAGCGTATAAACCTTTTTTGGTTTAACATGCTAACCAAATGAATCATCATTTTCAGTTGCTGGAGGAGATGATTTATGGTCTTAAGAAATTATGAACCACTACAGAAAGTTCACTGCCAAACTGATTCAAGACTTCCTGAAGTCTGTGGGAGCTCTTCTATTGATTTAGATGGGCTTTGGACCAGATCCTACACTTAAAAATAGGACTACTGTGTGTTACACATGGAGTAATGAACAAAATATATCTCAATAAATATGCAATCTGAGAGGTGATTTTTTTTTAAACAAAATTTCCTCTGTAAGCACCCTAGTTTTACCCTTTAATGCAGTATCTTCTTGATTACAACAGGTTTATAAGCTTACTTGACAGAAAATGAGTCAATAAGGCTAAGTCTTAAAATAAAGGAATGAATGTGGCATGATGCAGACTTAAAAAGTTAAGTGCTGTAGAGAGCCTCTATTTGGAAATATCATTGTCCATCACAGGCATGCTAGTGAATGCCCAAAATAACCATTTTCCCTTTCTTTTTTAAATTTTTATTCTATTTGTAAAAGCTTCGTGATGCTCAAAGCTGATCCATCTTTTAAGAATACGGAATTACACCCACTTCCTTTTGTGCAAGAACTACAATAAACTTCCTCTAGTGCAGTAGTATCTTTGCCTCCAGTTTCTGTTAGGAAAGGGAGTTGGTGTTATTACAGTGAAAGAACGCAGCTCAGCTGGCTTAGACACAATCAGCTAATGATAATTAAATATCAAAGCTGAGCAAATCTTATATCAGTATCCCCTACCTTATTCGTTTGGATTGTGTGATTTATCACAACTCTCTGTGTCACTGCAATAAGAAGCCTACATTCGTGTACTGCTTGATCCAGACAAATAGCTTTAGAGCCAATATTTTAAATGCTCTATCAATATTACTTTGTTAGAAGACAGGTCTCCATCCTCCTCATACAGTTCCACTGCTATTTAATGTGCACAACTTCTGTCTTTAGAAGATTGTACGTGAAATACCTCACTTAATTATCCAAACAATATTCCATCTCCGATTCTTTCAACATAAATCTGAGCAATTACCATTGTTAGACTAAGAATCTGGGGTCTGGAGATAAAATTTCTCCTGGTCCCTAACTAGTAATAATTATAGTTAAACCTGGGCATGGAAAGATTGGAATAATTTAGTGTCTCTTCTTCCTTCTTCTTCAGATCACAGAATGCAAATAAGATCCAGAAATAACTTTTCTATTCCACAGCAGCTGGCAAAGTCAGGTGTTAAGATTGGCTTTTAGCATATGATCACAGTGACTACTAAACAGAATAAATTTTTTGAAGTGACAGCTTGCCAGTTCTATAGCAACTTGGACTATAGTTCCTGTTTTTATAAACTTCCAACCTTTATAAGTTAAGCCCATTTTTATTGTCAATACACTTCAAATTTAACATAATGCCAACTCAAAAATTTTTCCTTAATTCTTACATTCCCAGAAATTACTAGAAGATGAAAAAAGAGAAGCATTTAGCTTCATTTTTAGGCCTGCTTTTTCTTCAGTTTGCCAACTGCTTATAAGCTCGCTTCAGCTTTTTGTTTTCCTGAGTATGTTTGCCACTTTAGAAGTATGAGGACATAGAAGAATCAATAAAAGAAAGCTAACACAGGTTTAAAAAAGCTCCTGCCTGCCAAGGCCATTCTTAGATTGACAGAGTCAACAAAAGCACAGATGAAGCAGACTAGGACACCTGCAAACTCTTACTGTTGGCTGGGCCTTCATTCAGCACAAGAAATAAGTATTTTTGTAATGATGTGTAGCATCTGAGTAGACCACCTGAAATCACTGGAGCTGCAGCTGATTGTCACTGCTATAGTCCTCATCCAACGAGGCTTTTATGTTTAACTTCAAGCACGTGTGCTTGTGATTAACATTTCCAAAAGCACCGGAAGTCCTGATCCTGCAAACTCTTCACTTTGGTACCCTGACTAACACGGTAACCTGCAGTCTTACCCTCAGTTTCAGGGCACTAACAGGCCTTACCAGCCTCGCCTGGGACCCCGACCCACACTCCCTGCCCATGGGTCCAGGGCCTCCATCTCTGTCCTTCACCTTTAGTCTCCACCTCTCAAGCTACATTGTAGGAGTATCTGTCTCCAGACCTGTCCCTGTCCCTGTGTCCTAGATTGACATCGGACCTACACTGTACATAGCTTGTTGCCTGGATGGATCCCACCTTGCGGCTTGCCTTCCATCATGTCTTTGGCCATGCCTCCTGGATGGACTTTGGACCCACGTTATAGCTGTGTCTCTAGTCCTGCCTCTGGCCCTGTCTCCTTTCGCTCCTGACTGGATTCTCTGGAGGGATGCCGGACCTGGTTCATTGCTTTGCCTTGTCTGGGACGGTCAATGGATCCTGTTACCTTGCCGCGCTCGGGTGCTGTGGGACTGGACCCTGCTTGGTGAGGGCACTGCCTGTGCTGGGGTCACCCTCGGCTCACGGCTCTCTTTCCCTCAGGGAACAGGCAGACCCTGCACCTCTCTGACACTCTGAGAGGTGATTCAGTCAGTAAAATCAATCATTTTCTTTGAATTCATTGGGTTTTGGATCAACCCATGGAAAGTTTTAAGACAATGAGAATATTTGCAGTCTGGAAGATCAGCCCTTCAGTTTCTTCACTGAGATTCCCCCCAAAGTGCAGGAGAACTTTGAATGCTCTGCAGTAAAAATGTGAAAAACCAGGCATGCCTAGTGCAGTGCAGTGTTCCTTGTTCATGTATGCTATTTCAACTCTTTTAAAGAAACTAGAACTGAAACATCTGAACATACCTTTCAAAGTGCAGAGAAGGCAAATGGGATAAGTAAAAAATAAATCTATTTTCAGCCAAAAAAAGACTGATTTACGAAGTGAACTTTGTACCATATCTATTTACAAGGCACAAAGTAATCTTACAGAGATCTAGGACCTCTGTCCTAGAAAATTCCATTCTCCAAGGAAAATCTCTGCAGTGCAAAATGCTGGAATCATTCTTCCAGCAAAAAGACAGGGATGATACAAAAAATGGAGGGAAGGAAGGGGACACAGTAGAATAATATGTTATACTGATTATCTACTCACACAGAGGTTACACCAATAGTAGTTTATTAAATGTGACAGTTTTCTGGCTCATAAGCCGTCTGGAATTGTCAGACCATGGCCACACTATTAAATTCTCTCAGCCTCCAAATCGGGGTGACCACATCAAAACTCCAATTAGGAACAGTTTCTGGCCTGTGCCAACCCCTGAACTGTGCCTGGGAATTGACTGGGAGAATGCTATCGGTCCAGACCAAAACTGTACCAGGATCTCTTTCAACAATAAATCCGTACAGACAAGAAAGTTCAGTGCAGGAGAAAGGTCTCCGAAACTACTTCATTTACTTGTATAGGCGTAGCTCCAGTCTCCGAGGAATGCATTTTCTGTATCTTTCTCTTACACTACAGTTGAAAAGCTGAAACTGTGGAGCCATAATAATTTGATGCCATGGAAAAATCAAGCCTACAGAATCCCATGATATTAACTGACACCACAGAACACAGATGGTACATATTCTGCTTGACCTGTCCAGCAGCAAAGTCAGAGGATTTGGTCAATCAGCCTGCACTCATGTCCTGGCTGGCCATCTGCCTGTCTGATCAGAACCCAGGTAACTACTGGCCTCACTGGGAATCACATCTCAGGCTTAGCCAGAACATAGACTGTTTCTCCTCCACCAAGGAAAACATACCAGATAGGATACTACGTCTGATAGTGGTGAATGCTACATCTACAAAGGTGTGGATCAATGATACTTCAATGATCAGTGACCCCTTTAATGGCTTCTCCAAAGTCAGTGGAATGACACTAACATAAAAGCAGAATCAAGCCTGCTAAAATTCTGGTTTTGCACAAATATAACTGGATGTAACATTTCCTCATGCATGCAGGCTTCCCATGAAAACTCTGAGGATTAAATAGTTACCTTCTTTAAATTTTGCTTTATGGTTGTACTGTCTCTCTCCACAACCTTCATCATTTCTTGGCTTGCCATATACAAGATGTTGGCTGCAGAAAAAGAAACATTCAATAATGTAATTACACAGCAAATGTTTTAAAAAATATAATACAGGCTCAACTGCAAAAAGGTAAGGCACCTAGAGCAGTCAAAATCTTGACAATCCCACTGAAAAGAGTCCCACTGACAGAAATGGCAGAATTTATCTCAACTAACTGAATCATCAAAAAGGCATATAGACTAAATTAAGTCACTCCCCATTAATTAGTTCCATAATTAATGGAAAGGGAAAGACACCTTTGGAACATAACTCTATCCATCTATCTTACAGACTTCCGAATCAGCCCATGGTGATGACTCTCTCTCCACTGACTAGTGAAGGAACTTTGATGATTACCTTTCACTACATACTTTTAGAAAGGTAGAGGTAAGCATGATAAATCACCCATGAAGCGTTTGCAAGAGGGGGCTTTTAAATACAAAGCATTCATTAAAAGGCATTATTAATCAACAGACTATTAAATTACTGACATTTCAATATGCAAGCCACTCAAATATTCAAAATAATAAATAATAACAATAATGGCAAGTAGCAATGTCAAGTAGCATTGAAAACTGCAGTCCTGCATAATATTGGTGGTACTTACCCAGATAGGACTAGACACCAAATGTCTAAGCCTTACCTTTCTGGAATGTAAAGTATTAAAAACGGCTCAGTGCAATTTATTGTGACTTGGTCTGCAAGATACTGTCTCAGACACATAAATGATTGAGTCTAATGTTTGGACACCTACCTAATTAAAAGTAGTCTAATTTTACAAGGTGTTGAGTTCTGGAAGGTCCCATGTATGTTAGACAGCAGTGGGAACTAAGCACTTCTGAAAAGTGGGTCAGTTTGCCTGGATGCCTTAATACTTATAAATTTAAACATTTTGACGCAGAAGGATCACACTGTGTCCACCTAGCCTTGTTTCTGTTACAACAGAACCTACAGAAGCTCGGCAAGAAATTTCAGCGCACAGTCCAAAACCTGGCTTTGAACAAGCACATACTTGTTAGATTGAGCTTTGCTGCTAGAATAAACCTCATCTATTCAACTGCAGAATCAAGAGTTGCTACATGACCATCAATGTTGCATTGTGTCTGCAGATAGTGAGAGGTCCTCCAAAGGGTATTCAGACTTACCGTTTTAACAGGGACTATCCATTTCTAACATCAGTGCTGTACTGAAGAAATGTGCACATATCACTATCCAAAGAATTAGTACTTCTTTTACCCTTTTTTTCTGCTCAGTCAGCTTACTGTGCTAATAAGATGGCCAAGCCTCTCCTGTTCTCACAATCGGAAGCCTCTGTGCTTGTTGGATGACAGAGACATTCATAACCTATATGTGGGAATGAAGGGCAATATTCTTCTCCTTTCTCACCAGTTTGCAAAACCAATGGAAGACCCTGAATGGCTAAATTACCTTAAAGCATTTCAATTTCCAGGCCCTAGAATGACTGAAAGTATTCTGAAATACTAAATCCTCTCTTGAAAAACAGGAGAAAATGGAAAGACTGACAATTTTTAAAATTTGAACCAATGAAGTTTTGTGCACAAATAGTTAATGACAGTGTTGGATCTGATACTGCTCTGAGACAGAAGCAATACATTCTCACAATGTGTGATAGGGGAGGAAATGGCAATCACATAGGTCTTTGGTGGTGACCAAAACATGGAGTTGGCTGAATTCCAACAGTGCTCTAAGGAAACAGAACGCCACCAGAGAGATGAGTGATGGCTCCAGAGATCAAATGTTGAAAGACAAAGCCAGCGCTCTCAAGTGAAAAAAAACCCAAAACCTAGAAAGTAGTATCTACTTCTGAGCCAGCAAAAGAAGATGCAATTCAGTTATATGCACGCAGAGCTCTGTCTTTTTCAATTAAATGTTGAACACAACTAGTGCAAGATCTTCCTTTCCTAGACAAGACAAAAGGGTTGCAGACGTGACATCATATAGACAATCAAGCAAATTTGCTGGTCCCATCCTATTCTATTGGGCAAAGGGGCCTTCGTGCACTTTTGTGTCTAGCAACCTGGTAATCTAATCCTGTGGTGCAGCTGGACAAAGTCTGTCCATCTACAGCATTGTTAAGTTCATGCCCTGACATTGGTCTTCTTTTTCTCAATTCAGCTCCAAACACTGATGCATTATATACCTTTCTTTTTAGAAGGATACGCATCTTAGAATGCGCCTTCAAAAATCATCTAGGAAAACCTAGAGAGAGGTATGAAAGATAATGAGGAATTCCATAGGTATTTCATTAATTTCAGATTGATTCCTGTTTCTAATGTGACAAATGTGACTAATGCTTAAAACTCCTACCTATAATGAAGCTGTCTGTCAGAAGCACTGCTCTGTGTCAGAAGGAAAGGCAGAACAGGGAGAGCAGCCCTTGCTACCCTAGGTGCTGGTCCTTCAGATGACGGATGTGGCTTACTATGGATTTACAAGATTTCACAAAGCACTAAGTGCAAGAGCCTGGATTTGGCAGGGTATCTGTGGCAATAGCACTTGTACCCAACCCATTATACGAGGGTTTTAGCATGCCAGGCCTTTGACTTTCCAGTCCAGAATAAGGTTCTTGTTAGTAGGACACGGTGGATAGCCTACCTGCAGTCAGAACTTTTGCCATTACCTTGCAGCATCAGCAGTGGATGGTAGGCAGGGATGAAAATACTGGTGGCCATCAGTGCAGAACCTGACATATACCAGTTCATTCAACTTTACTGGGATTCTGCAGGCAGCTCTCCACTTTCAGTTCAGTCATACAGCAAAAGTGGGAACAGTTAATACTCCCCTGCTCCTCTTCTCCTATCTTACTGGTTTCTTTGTCCTACCTCTTGTTCTTAGTGGGTTCTGCTCATATTTCTGAGTTGCTCGTGTGTTTTTTTGCAGTAAAAAATAAGAAATGAAGTGGAATTCACACACTTAGTAAACTTAGATTAGACATAAAGATCCTAAAAGTAAAACTGTAAGACAGTAAAGGCAATAAGGACAGTACTTTAAAAGGAACCGTCTCTGAAGGCTCGTGTACTGTGCAAGAAAGGGAACCAGGAAGGCAGGATTAAGCTAAACCGGATGAATGGCAAGGTTCAAGAGTCTATTTCAACCAAACAGAAATCCTTCAAATTTTGGAAACATGATCCTAGGGAAGCCAATAAACAGGAACTTAAACTTCAGCAGGCGTTAAGTAAGAGGAAATTGCAAAGAGCAAAAGTAGGTTTCCAAGAACAAACATTAAAAGATTTAAAAATAAACAATAAAATATTCCTTAGGTATATCAGAAAGAAGAGGCCTACAGCAGAATTTGCACAGGCTAAGGGAGTAGCTAAAGAAGATAATTACACTGTTTGGAAGCTAAATTATTTTCCTTTTGTTGCATGCACCTTTCTTGTTCAAAACATTCAGGAGGTTTCTGCTCTTTATAATCTCTTTCTGGCAATAACAATGGTTTCTCTTTGGGTAATGAGGTATCAAGAAGTAGCAACAGTGGAGAACACAGAATATATCAGGGCTAGAAGGTACACGTAACAGTTTTGAAGAACCTTAAATATAGAATCACTGAGCTTATAAAAATCCTGCTACGTAAGAATCACCCTGTCCAGTGGTTTGGGGAGTTAAAAATAGTGTCTAATCGCTACTGATTTTACAAAGGAAAATAGCATTTTACTGATCTATAATTTCTTGAACATTTCAATAAACACAACCAGATGACAAAAATTATTTGTCTTCTAAAAGCTCTCTGTCACATTTCACACAATAAACTTTGGTTGAAACTAAACAGCTGTAAAATGCAAGGTTAAGAAATAGTCTGGAAGCAAAGAAAAAAGATTAGGATTAGATTAGATTAGCTGGTTTTCATCACAGCAAGGAATAACGTCTGGATTCATCACAAATACAAAAAAAGTAGTGATTATTACTAAAATCTGTAAATAATCATTGAACACACCTGCTGATTTGATAATTTCTGGGGTGGGTTAAATCACCTCTCAAGATGACTCTCTTTTCAGTGATATAACAATGATTTCTCTTTGGGTAATGAGGTATCAAGAAGTAGCAACAGTGGAGAACACAGAATATATCAGGGCTAGAAGGTACACGTAACAGTTTTGAAGAACCTTAAATATAGAATCACTGAGCTTATAAAAATCCTGCTACGTAAGAATCACCCTGTCCAGTGGTTTGGGGAGTTAAAAATAGTGTCTAATCGCTACTGATTTTACAAAGGAAAATAGCATTTTACTGATCTATAAGTAGCAACAGTGGAGAACACAGAATATATCAGGGCTAGAAGGTACACGTAACAGTTTTGAAGAACCTTAAATATAGAATCACTGAGCTTATAAAAATCCTGCTACGTAAGAATCACCCTGTCCAGTGGTTTGGGGAGTTAAAAATAGTGTCTAATCGCTACTGATTTTACAAAGGAAAATAGCATTTTACTGATCTATAATTTCTTGAACATTTCAATAAACACAACCAGATGACAAAAATTATTTGTCTTCTAAAAGCTCTCTGTCACATTTCACACAATAAACTTTGGTTGAAACTAAACAGCTGTAAAATGCAAGGTTAAGAAATAGTCTGGAAGCAAAGAAAAAAGATTAGGATTAGATTAGATTAGCTGGTTTTCATCACAGCAAGGAATAACGTCTGGATTCATCACAAATACAAAAAAAGTAGTGATTATTACTAAAATCTGTAAATAATCATTGAACACACCTGCTGATTTGATAATTTCTGGGGTGGGTTAAATCACCTCTCAAGATGACTCTCTTTTCAGTGATAAGGCCTTTAGACCTTAACTTGAATTAAGTGCCTAAACTGAGGTGGGATGAATCCTGGCCTAAGATTCTAGTCCAGCTTCATATTAAAATCATGGGTAACTTATTTCTTAATGATCTGGTCAATGGATAAGTAGTTTATTGATAGCATTTGCACAGGACACAACACTACTCAGTTTGTGAGGACCAGGCAGTGAGAAACGTGAGAGAGACCTAAAGA